CATACATACATATACATATGTACTATATACATATATAGGCTTATGTAATAATATGAAAGTAATTTTAATTATCATTAAAAATTACGGCAACTATGCCACTTTGTTTTATCCATCTTAATATTTTCCATTGTCGCAGATGCATCTAGTTACTTGATTGAATTGAACCAGAACTTTTGGACAACGCTCCTCCATACCAAAGTTAATGTTATTATGCTAACTGTTTCTAACTGTTTATGGGCTTTTCTAAATATGAACATACCCTACAGTCAAGTTGTTTTTTTTTTTTAAAGAGATAATGAATTTGTCATTACTATTATTTGCCTGTTTGGCAAGCAGCTTAACTTCACACTAAAACAGCGCCACAGAGATCACCCCAATATCTCGAGTGAAAATCTGTCTCTTATACACATCTAGATGTGTATAAGAGACAGATATAACATTAAATTTGAGAAAACAGAACCAAGCTAAACACAGAAACGCGATAAATATAATGTTCCACACTAACTTAATAATGATTAAATAAATTTTTATGTAATCTATACATAAATCGATTATGTTTGAAAAATCATTAAACTTTACGAGATAGAGTTGCCTTACAAAAAAAAAAGAAGATGAATCTCATCACAAGCGCATAGGCCATTTTGTAGCTAACATCGTTTATTATGAATATTGATATAAAAAAAAAGATACATTACATATTGACTGTAGGGTATATACGTAACAATAGATGGTAATGTGGCTTATTAAGTTTTAATTCATATATAAAGAGAATTTACTCGCTAACTACTTTAGGCCATATCAAATAATATCGTCAATAAGCAACGTGGAATAATTACCAACTCCCGTTCTTGCGCGCAATTATTGATGGAGAAAAACTCGTTTAGCTTACCTCACCGTTGTTGTATTGTCTTTTATCTTAAATCCAAACCGATTATATTGTTACTACGATTGATTTGTACAGCTCACTGATAAGACTTCAACTGCAAACCATGCATAAAAATACTTCAACCATTAAATGATTCGCAGTATGACTGTAGTGGCGTGCCATACTGTGATACGGTTTTTCTTTTCAATGTTGTCGAATCACCGAAGCGGTATACACATTGCTTTTACAATTTATTTACATCATTCGGCATGCCCGTTACGTTCATTTATGTCGCATCTGGATTAGGGCAATTATTTCGATCTAAATAATCGTTGTTATAATTCCAACGATTGTTATTACTTTTGTGCATAAACTTCAAGTGACATTTAAACGAACAACCAAGTTGTTATTACTCGGAATCGCACCTAATCATTATCATAATATGCGATATATAGCTTGGTTATATTCTTTATGTACGTGTTTGGAATGTAGGCCATACATCTACGGACTGTAATAACTATTCTTCCTCTGTTACACAATACCATGGTTTCCGTAGCTGCTTTTTGAAATGATTTGCTTCTCCGAGCGCTCTGCTTGCTCAACTGATTTGATAGAAACGTTTTCAATACAAATGAATTAACATTAATTGTAAATGCCCATTGCAGATACACAGTACTTGTATTGCTGGCTAATTATAAGTACAGCATATGAAGGGCCAATACATTTCCATCAAATTTATTCTTTATCAATTCTGACTTAAATTATATTTGTATAATGAATTTTTATATATCTTGAAAAAACGTTAACTACAGTATTTGATTTATACCTTGTATTACAAGTGCTAAGCAGCAACTTGATTTGAATATATATATATATATATATATATATATATATATATATACTATACATACCTACATATATATATATGACTATATTACCTTTCTCTGATAATTTATATATAATTTAACAGTGTTAACGGCAATCTTGATTTATATAGGCCTATATATACATATATATAATATATGTATATATAAATATATACATATTGTGTAATAGAGTATATCTGACGTTATTTGAATCCGTTCAACCTGTGGTCTAATAGTTATGACGATCGCCTTGACAGCGAGAGGTCGCAAATCCCGTCAGAGGCATTTTATTACACAATTTATTTATAGGACAACATTCGTTTATATGAGTGTGTGTATATATGTATATATATATATATATATATATATATATATCTCTCTCTTATACACATCTATATGTGTATAAGAGACAGCATACATAGAGATATATACAGATATATATATATATATATATATATATATAT